CCCCAAAACCCCAAAACCCCAAATCGCGTTATATTCTAGATTTTTAGGAGATCAACTTTATACATTAAAAGATATATCACAATAAAGATATTAGAAAAATTTCGAAATGGGAGAAAAAATTGCTCTGTGGGGCTTCGGTCGTATGAACAAACTTATGATGAAATATCTACTTGAAAAGAACTACGTAATAGTAACTGTAATTGGAAATCGTGATCATGGTAAAGACGCTGGAGAGGTTGCAGGTTTGGAATATTTGGGTGTGAATGTAATTAAACCTGAAGAAGCAGACGATGTTCTTCGAGAGACACGACCTGCTTTATGCATTATATCTACTGTTAGTGGACTTTCTAAAATAAAAGATCTGCTTGTAGTCTTAGCCAGAAATAGAGTTAATGTGCTTACTATCAATGAAGATGCTTTTTACTCGTGGAGTATTTAGCCCGAGATGACTAAAGAGATCGATGCTATGTTTAGATAGAACTAAGTAACATTCACAGGTGCTGGATATTTTGATCTGCTTGGGTGTTATTTTGGATCTCTATTAGTTGGCATTTCACACAAGGTTGATAAGATATTAATGAAAATTCAGTTCAACCTTGATGATTTTGGTGCTGGAGATGAAGATGGAGTTGGTCTTAGTGTTGAGGAATTCAAAGAGAAATTTTATTAGTCAAAGGAAGAATTTTCATACATCTAGCCTCCAGTTGAGGCTCTAGCCTATAAATTAGGATGGAAAGTTCTTAGCATTTCTTAGAGAGATGAACCAACCTTGGCACCTATTGATATTCAATCTAATTAACACGGTATAATAGAATAAGGTAGAGCAACTGGGCACAAAGCTATCATTACTTGCAAAGTGCTGAGATAAGATAACTAGGAAGCAGAAATTTAGGCGCAATTAATTGGGTGTGTTTATCATGGAGATATGGAGGATTATTGTGAGTGGGAGACCATTGGTGTACCTTCACTAAAACTTAAAATTCCTAAACCAGACTCATGTGAAGTCACTTGTGCTTCCACTGTCAACAGAATAAAAGACTGCATAAATGCAAGACCAGGATACGTTACTGTAGTAGAAATGGGACCTATTGCTTGAAAATAATCGCTGTTGAGTTAAAATATTGATTATTGAGTTTTAAAACCTTTATTCCATTTATCTTAAGAGATCTAATCAAAAATAATTTAAAGCTTGATGATTTGATTGATTTTAAAATTTGACATTGATTGAAGTTTATGGTTATTTTAATTTTTTGACTTCTCTCCAAATTTATTTTATTTGATATTATTCCAATCTTATGGGGTTTTGGGGTTTTGGGG